ATTCTCTGCGACTGCTTCCCACTTCTCAACAAATTTTTTACTTCGTTCCACCGGAAGCTTTCAGGTACGGTGTTGAAGTATTCGTAACTAGTCGTTGGCTTTCGCTACTACCAAACGTACTGCTACCAATTTCATTTGCCACGAATCGATGAAAAAAGTATTCCTTCGGCGCGACTTGAAAGATCCTTGAAGCATGTGATTTGGCATTGCCGTAGAAAAGGATGATTTCGTTTTATTTATCGAGCCTTTTATGTTGCGTAGCCCTTTTGCACGCAGCAAGTGAATCATATATGTAATATATTTTTCTTGTGGACTTTTTCTATCATGTATTTCCCTGTGTCTAAAGCCCATCTAATCCCACCACGCGCAAACGATAGTCTGTTCCTTATTGGGAACCCTGCAACTTAGAGATTAAGCATAATTTCCGAAGCTACCGATTCTTTTTGCTGTCTCAAATAAACGTTACAACACTACTTTTCCTAATCCGTAAGATCCTCAGTCGGCATTTGACGTTACGGTTCTGTGTCACTTAGTGCCGGACGATAGGTTAAGAGCAAAGGGAAAGCTGTGTTCCTTGTACTCTTTCCTGAATCTATGGGTCCCACAGACGCAAGATACCTGATAATAGTTATATATTCGCAAACTACAAAACGAAATCTTCCAACTTGGAGCTATTTGTGGAGCTTGACGGCGCGATAAGATTTCGTTTATCGCATGAACGAAATTCAACGGGCGGTAGGTGGAAATAAAGACATAAAGAAAGCAGTAAGGAAAAAGCGAATTTTTGAAAAATGACGGTATTACTTTTTGACTTATTTGATATAAGAGAGTTAAATTACCAGTTATAAAACAAATATATTGGACGCATTGATCGAATCGATTAAGGCGTTGTCGATTGAATTTTGGAAGGGTGATCCTACATATGAATAAGCAAAAGACACCGATCTTATGGCAAGGAACGGTTGAAATGTGATTGATCTGAAAACAATTTGCCATGCCGACCAGGTAGCAAGCAAGGCAGAACTTTTGTTTATCGTGATAAAGGCACGGAGCACATAATCGTCGATTTTTTGTGATCCGCCATACTTTCCTTAGGCACACATTATTCGATTGGGCATACATTTTAAAGTTCTGTTACTGATTTCAAAAATCTGCTTTTTTTCATCAGAGTATTGAATGAGGATTTGTAGTGCTATTGTTCAAATCGCTACTCCTTGTAACTTTTTTAAAAATAACCCCTTTGGTATTGTTTCAGAAGCTGGTGGAAAATATAGACAAATGACTACTCGACTTTCACTTTTTTAGTGTGCTAAATATATAGATATAGTGAAAATACGTTTTATCTGAGGCAGGATTGGCATACGTAGAAATACTGTTTTAACGGTATTGATATTAATTAATTAATTGTCTTCCAGTTCCTTAAGCTCTAAATAAGCTTTTTTTACCTTCTGCATGTGGCAATTCGCCCGCTCAGTTCTGGTTGATAATTAGGTATGTAGCCTTCAGGCATGGTTTGCTTTTTTTGCTCAATCAGGTAGTTTTCTGTTTCTAAGAGCTCATCGTTAACATTGCCTACATCAATTTGCTCGTAATGAATTGTGTGTTTACTGCTCGCCTTTTGGACTATTTGTTTAATCTACTCTTTTTCATAAATATTCTGTTTCGCCTTTCGTTTCTGTAACCTTGTTTCTGCATCTTTTATATTCTTTACTTTTGACTAATCGAGACATGAACTGTCTTTACATGCTCCTCGTACTCGTAAAGATACAAGGCTTTAATGGTTTGTATCATTTGATTTAATTTATCAGTGCTTTCGCTGCAGTGTCATGATTATCAGTTTTTCTTATTGATATTTGCATTAATCTATTTACAGAAGACTTTGACATTCTCTTTAGCGAACAGTAATGTAAACCTGCTCT